GTTAAGCTTAAATCTACTGCCTTGCTATTATTTTCTATTTATTTCTTTTTGCTCTTTTCTTATGTTAAGAAAATTAATTTAATATATTTCTGTATTCCACTTTTTCCCTAGTGATATTGAGTTATACTTGTATGGCAGTTGTGTTATACAATTCACATATACTTACTTTATTTGAATCAATATAACATTTAACTTGTGAAAATACTTTGTAAAAGTGTGTTTTTGTTATCTTTGCTTTTAATCTGATTAACTTTCAGAAATTAAAGATACAAAAATATTCCTTTGTACTAACCTATGAAGTTGCCTCTTGTGATGCTTTTCACTTTCTCTTGTGAACTTCATTTGCCCAGAACAAATTTTTGCTTGCCACAGTTGGAGGAGAAGCTGCTTGGCATCCAGTGGTCAGAGGCCAGAGGATTCTACAACATACACACAAGGCAAAGGCAACCACAGCAAAGCATTACCTTGCTGTAAATCAATTCTGCTGAGGTTGATCGACATTTGTATCCAGCACCATACCTCTTTAGCTTAAAGACTTCTTGTAGTGTACACTTTGGATCTTTATTCTTTCAGTTTCTCACACCAGGTAGACAATGCAATATGTATACATGTGAGTCTGATTTATTTAAGAGTGTGGTCTTGTGTTAATTTACCTAGAAATGCCTCATTTATCATTCTTTATGGCTGAGTAGCGCTTAATTATATAAAAAAACCACATTTTTTTAATTCATTCCTCAGTTTATGGGCATTTGGGTTGTTTCCAAGATTTGGCTATTCCAAATTGTGCTTCTATAAACATGGGTGCACATGAATATGATCATTTTGTGTATCTAAGATGTACCAATAAACTTAATTAAAAGAAAAAAACTTCTTGTAGGGGTAATTCAATTGCTACAAAGATCTATTTTTAGTTTTTATTTCTCTGAAAATCTGTATTTCATCTTTCTTTTTAATTAATAATTTTTCTGGTTATACTTCCAGGTCAAAGATTTTTTCTCTATCAGCACTTTATACATGTTTTCTCATTGCTTCCTGCTTCTCAGCATTCCTTTCCAATGATAAATCAACTATCATTAAAAAATTATCATTGCTCTCCCTAGAGAAGGCATATTTTTTTCCGACTGGTTTTAGGACTTTCTTTTTGTATTTGGTTTTTAGCTGTTTGACTGTGATGAATCTACCGATGGCCTTCTTTGTATTTATTCTATTTCAGATGCATTAACTTCCTGGATGCATGAGTTGATAATTTTTAGACTAGAATATGCTTGGCTATTAAGTCTTTAAATATTTTTCTTCTATTTTCTAATTCTCTCTCTCCCCTTATTCTTGGACCCTAAATGTTTATATATCAGATCACTTGATATAATCTCATATTTTACAGATGTTATTATTCACATTTTAAAGACTTTCTCCTTTTTAATTTTTGACAATTTTCACTGATCGTTCTTCAAGTTCACTGATCCCTTCCCTTTCTGCATTATACAGCTTTAAGCTTGCTCACTGATATTTTTCTTTTTACATGGCTATTATTTTACTTTTTTCAGTATTTTTATTCATCTTTTGAAATAAGCCACTTGTTCACTCGTTTGAAATAACTGATTTAGTCTTTTCTTATCCTGATCATCTCTTTCAAAAGGTTGTATTTTCTCTTACATATAGGCAACATTTTTCTACTTTAATGTTTACATATTTACATTGTGTATAAATGAATAATAAAGACTGAATTATATTTGTTTTGTTCTGTTTGTCCATTAGAGATTATATTCTTTTCTGACCAGGAAGCAGTGCCCTCCTATGTGCCAGCAGCAATCAAGCTGGCTGGCAGAGAACCAGGAAGCAGTGCCTGCCCTGAGGACAGGGTGAGAACATCCAACCTCCCCTCCCGTCCTCCAACTGGCTGACTCAGTGGAATACAGGCTGAGATAATAGCAACTGAAGTAAGAAAGAATTTAACGCTCATATTGTTTGATTAACTTTGCAGACCTACAGCTGGTAGTCTGAGCATCTATTTGGAGGATAAAAATATACAATATAATAGCTACTGTGGATTTGCTAATGTGTTGTTTTTGAAGTCCAATATTGGTCTCATTGTTTTGTTTCATTTTATGGTTTAATTCCCTTTAAACTAAAAAAAAATCCCTTTTCTCTGAATGTAGTGAGGAGCCAATCACTTAACCTTTCCCTAGTGTCAACAACAGCAATGTTATAGCTCAAGTGAGGTTAAGTTCATCATAATTAGTTCAACTTTAAAATCCTGAGACAGTCTTTCACATCTTGTCAGTGTTTGTACTGGGAAAGGACTGGTTTCAGTTTCAACTGAGGGAGGGTATGGAATCCATTAGCCATAAGCAACCATTAGACTGTAGGTTTTTTCTGCAGAAACACCTCTTCTTCCCTGCCAAGTTCATAGCAAAAGTGGGGTAGGGCAGGAGTAGAACCTGCCTTTGTGGCTCTTCTGGACTCAAATTTGTCCCTTAGCTTTCTAGCATTCAAAGTTCAGCCTTCAGTTCATGGCAGGCCAGTCGTACTTAGACCTCAGTAAGGAATCTGTGACCAAGTCTCTTACTCACATTTGTTCTTTCTGGAATTTAGTTTTATCTTCTTCTTCTTTTAGTCTTCCTCGTTGTTCTCAAGGGAATGAAGGTCATTCTTATGCCAAGCTGAAGTAGAAATCTCCTGTATTCACTTTTTCTAATCAATATTATGTCATAAAAAAAAAAAACACAAGAGGTTTGCCTTATAATTTTAGAGATTTAAGCACTTACATTTTTGTGAAATAGCAATTTCTTTTCAATCTAATTCAGTAAATTAGTAAAATACTAAAAATAGCACAAAAATAAAAGTTAACCATTGTTGACCTCGTTTTCCTTTCTTATTGATAATTTACACATCATGCCTAACATGCACGAGGTTGTAAGTTCAATCCCCGGTACAAAAAAAAAAAAAAAAAAAAAAAAAAAGATAATTTACACATCAAATACCCAAATCTAGATCTTAACTGTACAGGTCAGTGAATTTCAATTCACACACATTTACACTGTGTGATCACCATTCACATCATTATATTTCTATCAAGATTCTTCCTCCTCAATGCTCTCTGAGATAACGATTACTTTTTTTCTAGCATCATAGATGTGGTTTTCCCTGTTCTTGGATTTAATGTAATTTAATATAGACACACATGACATATACTCTCTAGTGTCTGTGATTCTTTTGCTTAATAATGCTTGTAAGATTCATCCATATTCTCATGAATTTGTTTATTCTTTTTTGCTATGCAATATTCTCTTGGGGAATTATACCACAATCTATTCAATGCCTAGCTGGTGGACAACTGAGTTGCTTCAGATGTTCGGTTTACTATAAATAAAGCTACCATTAAACATGTATTTTATTTTGCAGAGAATTTCACTCATTTTTCTACTTTCACTTAAAGTAGAATGGTTGTATCACAGCAAGTAAACACATAGGCTTAACAGAAACTGTCAGTTTTTCCAAGTGATGGCCCATTTGACCTTTCAGTAAAGTTAATGGCACCCAATCATTTCAAATTCTCAATGCTTGGTATTACCAGTCTTTATATTTCTGCCATTCGGGTTGGATGTTTGGCAGAGCTTCATGAAGTTGTGCTACCCTCTTCCATTCTTCTTAATGGTTGTGTGGTAATTTTCAGTCTGAGTATGCTAGAGCTTACTTATTTCCCTATCGACAGATTTTTTTTTATCTGTATTTAAAAAGTTAAAACTTTTAACTTTCACCATACACCCTCAACCCACACTTTTAAGCCTACATGCAAATATTTCCGGTGTGGGTCTCAGGACCCTTGAAGTGTAAAACTTAAGGGCGGGACAGCACATGCCATGGAAAGCCCTTCACAGCTTGCCCAGCCTTACACTGCCTTGTCTCATGACACAGCCACCTTGAACAAGAAAGTCAAGGAGATATGAGTCCTGTCCCATCTAAGCCCAGGGCCACATCTTCAGCTGCCTTTTCATTCTGGTTTGTTGAAGTGCCCTTTCTTAGTTTCCACTTCTCCTTTGATGTCAGCATTCATAGGATGGATTATTCTCTTTTCTCTTTCCTGGCTACCTTTCAAACAAGCTAGTTTTAGGAAAACAGCTTTAGTGACTGTCATTTCAACAAAGCAAGGACATGGAAAACAAAAACCATCCAACGAATTTACATGCCAAAAAATAAAAATAAAAATAAAAAAAATAGTAAAGTTATATACCTCAAAGGTCCTGCAGTCATCTCTTAGGACCACCAGCCTGGACTCCGCTGCTGAGAAGGAAATGAGAAGCTCCTTTTACAAGAGTTCCCATTTCCTGCCTGACCAGGAAAGCTCCTTCACTTTGACCTGGGCGGATGCTCCCTGTTAGAAGCTCCTGAGAGTGCATCTGAGAACATTATGATGCCCACAGATTAAAGGACATATTCTGGAACCACCATGAAAGACATCCTGCTGCCGTGGGAGGAGTGTGTGACACGCAGATCCCGTCACCCTGGATCCCCACATGGGCTTGTCCAGCCCTTGGCCATCCAGCCCTGTGGGGCCAGAAACCAGAGCAGCCTCACACATCTCGGCTGCCAGCGCAGGAAGGAGCGAGCCGAGGGAACCTTTCCGGCTGGGCCAGCCCGGTCCCCTAGGCTGGGTGAGTTCACCAGGGTTCTGGGAGATCATAGGTGCTAGGCTGCAGCCAGGCAGGGCACGCCAAGACTCCTCAGCATAAGCCTCCGCCTCCCATCATCGTCGGGGTGTGCGGCCACGCAGGCAGCGAGCAGCTGAGGATAGGCACCTCTGCCTGTCGAGAGCAAAGGCCACTGACGTCCCTTCACGCCTCTCCGAGAGGCTCTGGCCCCATGGACCTGGATGTAATGGGCGGGCACAGGAAAAAACACTAGGGCAGAGCCATGAGGCCCAGGATTTGGTTACATATGTTCACGTGACACCACTCTGACCAATGAGATGCAAGGATGGGGAGCCAAGAGGATTCTGGGATACCTCTCCCAACTCATGGACAATTTAGTTCCAGGATGGGAGAGTGTGGGTGGCCTATGTCCTTGTGTGGATTCCCTGCAGAAGTGACCTCACCAGAACTCTGGTCAAAGGCCTGGAAGTGTAGTCCAGTCTGAAGGAGTGGGTTGAGGACCTCTCGAGTCCAGTGAGATTACGATGAGCCTCAGGCTGCTGGAGCATTGAGCTGCTGTTTCTGTGACTCCCGTTACAGCTCCTGCTCCCCCAGGGAGAAGGCTGGAGCCTGTGTTCTGGGAAGCCAGCCTGTTATCACTGCAAATATCTCCAGCTGGAGGCCTCTAGCATGCCAGGCCAGAAGCTCATCTCTCTCACCAAAGGAATGCTCTGTGCAGCTGGAATGGCTCCCATCTTCCTCCATATGGTATGTGAACAGAATGCTTGTTTGGGTTTCTGGTACTTCCAGAGCATGTAAGGAATGCGAACGACCTAAACCTGAGTCCTCAGCTTCTTTTCCTCCAGGTCAGTGGCTACTCATTAAAATGAGTTGGATTTTTAACAGAGCTGGCCAGACCTGGGCTCCAGGCATGAGGACCAGAATCACTTAGTCTGGGTTGGACGTGTTATCAGAATCTTTATCTCCCCCAACACCAGCATAATCTAGAGGTGAAGCTGCAAAGAACTTCTGCTCTGGGAACTTGGCTGTGCTGGGTCTGAGGCCTGCTGGGAGGAGACTGCCCCAGGTCCCATCCTAATTTTCCTGAGTCTGCCGGGTCATCTCTGCAGTGGGCAGGGTGTATCCTGACACGTGGACGGTTGGTATATGTCTGGATCTTCCTGTTTGAATTATATCCTTTGTCTCTCAGGGCAGTTCAGCACAGCCATCCTCTGCCCAGCCATTCCCACCACAAAAGGAAGTCTGGGTAGCACTGTCACAGCTGCCCCATGGCCTCTTCAGCCACATTTGGGGTCCATCTGGCAGAATGGGAGATTAAATGCAAGCCTGTGAGAAACCTCATTAGATCCTACTGGCAGGAGATGAACAAACTGCAGAGCATGAGACAGAGCTCACAGAGGAGCAGTGGAGTATGACCCAGGAAGTCTGTGCTGGCCAGAGAGGAGGTGGTGAGAAGCAGCAGTGCTGGTGCACTGCGCACGTCACAGCACAAAGCACCCTGTCGCTCGGTTCATCTCATGACCACTGTCGGGCACTTCTCAGTTTACTTCTCATCCTTGCCACACCAGGTCCTGGTCCTGATGCTTTACAGGGTGACTGGGCAGCTCTGTGGGTGTTCTTATCACTCCACGTTAGACCGAAGCAAGCAGAGGTGCAGAGGTCTCACTGAAGCAGATCAGCTCTACATCTCTCCCTTAACCACAGTGTTGGGTTGTCTCCCATGATGTCAGGGGCAAGGCTGGGAAGATGGCAGGCCTGAGTTCAGTGCCACTCCTCCTTCAGTGCCCCAGATGTTGTACTCCTGGGGATTTTTGCCACTTCATCAAGACTCAGCACCAGTCCTTCCTTTTGTCCACGTCAGCACAGAGTTCCTCATGGCCTCGGCCCCTCAGAACACAGAAGAAGCTACCTGGACTGGACCGAGCAGAGGAAGCACACGTGTCTGTACCTCTAGGGGCTACTTGCTCTCCCCAGACTCACCCTGAGGTTTCAGCATTTTCTCTTTCTGCCCACGTTTCCCACTCTGTCACCTCCCTTCTCTGCAGCCCTGTTTCTTTATCCAGTCACAAGGGAGAGGGAGCGAAGCCCTCTATCTTCTGCTTCAGTATCTGTCAGGAGTTTGTACTAAGAAAAGGTACTTTCTATTGGGGTACTTCTTGCTGAACCAAGGCTCCCCATTTTGTGGCTACCGTGTCTTTGCCCTGATGGAGAATATGAGGGCAGCCGAGGAGTGGGTGGCTCTGTGCCCCTGCACCCCCTGTCCATCGTCCGACACTTTGTTAGCAAGGCTGGGGCCATGGCAGCTGCTCCACCTGAGCTCAGATGTTCCGGTGCAGGAAGCTGGGAGGAGCCTCGCCTGCTATACCACTGCAGCCAGGATCTGATTTTGACACCCTGGGAGCTCTTTTCCAGTGAAGCCTGAAAAAAAATTGTCTCAGGCTCCAAAATGCATGCATTGGCTTGAGGTTGATGGATGATGAATTGATCTGTTTTTACAAATAAAGCTCATGCATTTTTTTTCCTCTTCAAATTCTGAAAATGGCAGTCTCCTTTCTCCTCAGGGCTGAGAAGAACAGCTGGTCTGACTCAAGCCCCTTTATGGTTTCCAGAGAAGCCGCTGGCTGAAAACAGAACATCTGGTTTATGTAAGAGGCACAGCTCAGACTTGGCTACAAAGAACTGATTTCATCTGAGGGAGGCTTCTCACAGTAGTTGATCAGTTTTCTGAGGGGGTGCTTTTTCAGGATAAAGAAGAGAAAATAAGGAGGAGGGATGTGATGCCAGCTGCCCCGGGCTCTTGCTCTGAATAGTGGCTTCTTCCTCCTCAGCACTCCTTGTTCCTCCTTACAGTCAGCCTAAGTGCCCCACCACCATGCCAGATTCCCTGTCTGATTTAGATCTCTTTGTTTCTCTTTAAAAATAAAAATTATTTTAATACTCATTTATGAAACTTTTTGAACCTTCAGGGAGTAGGAAATGTTCAGACTTTCCCAGGTTTACTGCTGTTTCCTTGCCTTAGTGATTTCATGGCTAAAATATTTTAGAGTAAATTGCAGACATCCTGACATTTCACATGGTAATGCTGGAACACACATCTCTCAAGTAGTAAGAGCCCCTCTCTGCACCTATGGCTCATGGTGTCTTCACCAAACCCTGTTAGGAACAGCTCCAAACCTTGTCTAGTAGCACTTTTACATTGCTGTGCGTCTCTAGAATCGTCTTTTACTGTTTTTCTTTTTGTTTCTAAATTTTAAGTGAAAACTCCCATTTCTCTTTGTCCTGTGCCTGCCTCATCAGGACAGGAGGTAAAGCTGTGTTGACCTAATCTTTCTTTTGTGAGTTGTGACCATTATCTGTATCTACATCCATATCTTTATCTAGTTAGATTTACTTTTTTCAGCTTGTTTTCAGTATCACAACATTTCACCTTTTTATTTTATTTTATTTTTTATTATTTTTGAAACAATCTCATGCAGTTCAGGCTGCCCTTGAGCTCACTTGTAGCCCAGGCTGGTCTCAAACTTGCAGTTAACTCCCCCTTCACCCTCCTACATGCTGGAATTTCAGGCATGTGCCATCATGCCTGACTTTCATTTCTTCTTTTTAATTTAATTGTTCAAATGTATAGAACACTGACCTGCCTCCAAAAAAAAGGTCTAATGTTAAAGCTACCCCTCACCCATTCCTGTGCTCCTTGTAGGAATCATTTAGTCTTTGTTTTGTGACACCTTTTTTTACACACACAAAAATAGGACCCAGTATTCACAAATGCATGCTCTGCCCTTTCCCTTAACACCATCAGCTGGCCAGCACTGTGCAGGGTCTTTCCTTCTCTCAAGACTGAGCTTTCTGTGGTATACATCTTCTGTGGTTCTGAACAGTGCCTACCAGTGAGGTACTCCCAGGGTTTGGGGCTGGGGGAGAAGCCATGTGCTCTGCCACTTTCTGCTTCAGTACAGATGCAAGCATGGGACAGATGCAGGAATGTGGCCTGTAGCTGAACAGAGGCTGGTGACTCCCCTACCTGCCTGGGCTGCAAGCTGTAGCCATGGTACACAGCCGGCCCTCCTGCATCTCACAACAAAATGGGCTGCTGGGTTTGGTCCACCTGGTGGGTGAGAAATAGTGTTTCAGCTCCTGGTTTGCATCTTTCCCACTGCAAGTGAGGCTGAGCACGTGCATATTGTCAAAGGCGTTGGTGCCTGTCATCCTGAGATGTCTTCACAGCTCTTGCCCGTTGTTCTGTTGTTCTTGTTTGGTCATTTTTCTTCTTCCATTTCTGGAAACTCTTCATATGAAATAGATTATCCCTTTATAACTTGTAAATGTTTGTTCCCAAATTACCATTGGCCTTTCAATTTTGCTCTTTTTTTGGTTGTCAGGGATGTTTTGTGTTTTAATGTGATTTTATTTCTCCATTGATATGGAACCTTGAACAGTATTTAGAGAAATTTCTCCATGTCCAAGTTATAAAGCAAATCACGTGCCTCTTTCTCATACTCATATGATTTCATGTTTTGCTTTTGGCTCTCTGATCCACTTGGAGTTTTCCCTTTTACAATGGGCAATGTGACACAGAATCTACCTGTGTTTTCCCTGTGACAGCGTAAACATTGAGTACTGTTGGTAAAAAGTCCTTATTTTCCAGCTTGAGGCACTGCCTTTTCCTCAGACTTCATCTACGAGGGTGAGTCTATTGTTGAACTTTCTAGTCTGTTCTGTCTCCAGTCTGTTTATGCACCAGCCACACTTTTAGCTATGGACACTGCATGTATTTTTAACATCTGCTGGGGATAGCTCCACACCCCCGCCATTGCTAATCTTTTCCAGGCTTTTCCTGACTCTTCCTGTTTATTTTTTTCACATGGACTTAGGAATAAACTTGAGTAAACCATGGAGCAGACTAGAGGTCCTCGTGTTCCTAGATTTCCCTGTCTGAGACCAAGTACTCTTGTTTCGTGGCCGAGTCTGCTTGAGGTCCTTTGGCTCGGAACTTTCTTCTTATGGGTTTCATCTTCCTGGTTTGTCTCTGGCTATTTCATATCCTTTCACTATGGTTTTGTTATCCTCTCTGAGGATAGCTGATTTCTTCACCCAGAAGGGACATTTTACAGTGTTAGCTCTGATGTCGGTTTTATTGTGCTGTTTACATTACTTCTACTCTCTGGAACTAGCATTGTTATCACCTATAGTAGTGCTCATGTCCACCATATGCTGGGAAAGCTGTCCTTTCTGACCTCTGGGTTGGGGCGTGCCTGCAGCCTGCGCTGCTGTTGCACAGAGCCTTGGCTTCCCCCGGGGCTTTGACTCCTGACAGCAGGATGTCACGGGGCATCTGGCTCGTGGGGAGCCATCTCTGTGATGCTGGAACTGTCAGATGTCTTCCTCCTCAGTGCTTTTGGCCCTGAGTCTGTCCCATGCAGTATCAAGAACATGGTCCCTGTCTTATTCTACTTGAATCAACTTTTATCTTACACATAATAAAGTGACCTCATTCAAAGCCATAGTTAAATAAGTTTTGATAAACATAGACCTTGTAATACCCACCACAACCTGAAGGTGTGGACGAAATGTGGCGTCCTCCTGAAGGGTCCCTCTGCCCCCCATGGCTCCTCCCACACTCCAGGCAACCATATGTACCTTTGACGTCCCAGCCTCTTCCAAGAGCTGTCTCGGTGGAGTCATTCCATGTGTACCCTTCTATGCCTGACCTATCACTGCACAGAGAGCGAGTCCTGGGGTCCACTGTGTCACATGTATCAGCAGCTTGTTCTTCTGTGTTACTGAGTGGATTTTGTTACCTGGCATGACAGCGCGCCACACCAGTGGTAACTAGATTTGTCTACAAGTCGGGGATTTTATAAGTGAAGCAACTGTAAACTTTTCTGTACAGGTCTTGGTTTAGACTAATATTTTCATTTTTTCTTGGAGTGATATGGCTTGGAATTTCTGGATTACATGACGTGTTTGCTTCACTTTTTAAGCAGCCATTTCCCAAACTATGTGCACTGTTTGTATTAACATCAGTAACACGCGGCAGTTAGAGCCACTCTTCCTGCAGACAGCTTGCGGTACCATCTTGTGGGTCTAGGCGGTTAGTGGTATCTTATCAGGGCTAAATTTTCCTTTCCTCAGTAACTGCTGAGGTGGAGTACTTATGTTTATGGCTTGGTCTTTCCTTTGTGAAGTACCAGTATCTGAGCGTCAGAGGTCTCTTGCCCCGGGTCTCAGCAGAAATCAATGTCAGTCCACCCTAGGAAACCAGGAATTGTTGGTGAAATCTAGTTCCTTCGGTTGGAAGACTGAGTCCCCTTTTGTTCTTGGCTGCCCTTGGGTTCTTTTGTTTGTTTTTGAAACAGAGTCTCATTACATAGCCCAGTACTCCTACATCTGCCTCCTGAGTGCTGAGATTACAGGCCTCCATCTGCTCCATGCCTGGCTTTGCCCTCAGGTTCTTGCCTGAACCCTACACAGGCAGCTCCTGAGAAGGCTTTGGATCTAAGCCGTCCTCCCCAAAGCTCATGTCCAACTGTGAGGCTTTTGGAAGTGACTGGTTCCTGAGGCTCTAGCTCCATCAGTTACATTGATCAGTGAAGGAATAATAATTTGATAGCATTATTGGGAGGCACTGAAAGCTGGAGGTGGGGGTCCAGCTGAAGGGAGTGGGCCATAGGGGTGTGACCTTGTCTCCAGGTCCTTCTCTTGGGTTTGTTCTTTTTTTCTGCTTCCCATCTATTGCAAGGTGAGCGTCTTTACTGACATGCATTTCTGCCATTATGGTTCACTTCATGCTTGTAGCAGTGGAGCCAGCCAACCATGGGCCAAAATCTCTGGAACCAGAGAACCAGAATAAATTTGCCTTTCCTCCTGTTACAGCTGAATAATTGTGCAAGTTCTTGTGTACGAGGATGAGGAAAGAGTAGCCAAGTGTACACCCACTAGTGAGTAGTAAGTGGTTCTAGTAAAGATGTGTGAGGTGCCACCCAGAGACTGAAACTGAAGAAGGTCAGGTTTTATTCCCTGCTTACAGATAGGTTGGCATTGGAATGAATGTAGCAAATGTCTAAAGGGGGAACTGAATATATGTAGCTTTGAGATTTGGGTGGGCATAATCTTAAAGAATCTTAAAGAATCCGGATAAGAATGCTTGAGTTTAGGGCTGTAGGGGCAATGAGTACAGATTGGTACACAGAGCCGGTATCAGGGGACTGCAAGGCTACCTTGGCTCACATTAAATTTTATTCTCCAGGAGCAAGCTATTGCCAGTAATGGAGAGTCCACTGTGTGTAGTGTGCAGCCCGAGTCTTTCTCAGGTTACTCTTAGGCCAGTCCTGACAGTAATTACATTTATTGATCAAGGTAGCAGCAGCAACAGGAAAAAAGGAAGAGAGAAAAGAAGGCCAATAACCCCAGGTTTCAGAATTGCAAGGCCAGATGCCTCTGGCTCTAGGTACTTCCCACTGACCCTCCCCCTGGTGCCTAGGTTTTTGTTGTTATTTTCATTTTTTGTCTCTCTTAGGATAATGGAAGCAGGTGATGTTTATAATCAATGGAGTGAAAGTAGTGACTCAACTCCTTTATGTCGCACTGTCCTAGAATCTATTTCTGAGACCCACCTCATACTGTATCAGGTAGGACCCTTGCTGTGATTATATCTGACCATGCGGTTCAGTTGTCTTTGAAACTGGTTTGTGGAAAAAATTTGGAAAAGCTTGGAAAAGCAAGTTCCACAAAATGGAATGCTATAGTGAGTGAGATTCATGAGAGATACAGGCAGTAGCTCAGCAGACAGCTAGTAAAAGAAAGGTGAGCAGAAAAGACTGCTTGCAGTGTTTCAGATGGGAAAGCAGACTGTCGGGTGTTGACTAGAGGCTATTCATGTCACACTCTGGCAAAAAAAACTTGTCCATGTTTTGTTCATACTCTGATACTTTGGGAGAA